ATTTTTTTTTCTGTCTGAAGATCGGATGACTTACCTTCGTACAGACAGTCTTGAGTAAGTTTGGTCCAAGTTGGAATTAGTATAATTATGACGTCATAAAGATACGTTGCACTTACAACGGGTGTCCCTATAATCAGCGACATATACCCTATATATAAATTCCTATAATATGAGGACAGAAATAAGATAAAGCCTGTATGCCGATTTCTAAGCGCGAAAAAATATGGCTGATTTTTTTGATTTTTTTTTTACTTTGGGTAACAACCTAAATAAATTCCTGTACCGCCCCTGTAACATAAAGAGCTAGGGCGGGTTAATTGCTATGCCTATTTCCCCAAAGCTATGATCCGATAGTGCGCGCTTCACACCGCGCACTGTTATGACGCGTCCTCAGGTATACCCGTGTCTAAGATTAAGGCCATGGCTATTAATACATGCCTTTCACGATAAAGACTCAACAAAATGCTTATTTCGTGTTATGCTGTATAAAACACAAGACCGTACAATTATAACCCAACAAGTTTGAAAGGATTTAATTCTCATTACTACTGCCTACGTCATGCCGTTACATTTTTTTCTTAAAAAAAACACATCTTGATTTTGTTCATCATGTACCTTGGAATGGTAAAATAACATGTAGTTTTCGAATAGCATGTCTTACACGTGTATTGCGCTTCTTACTTTGTGCTGCAGTCTTCCTTCATTTGAAACAAAGAGACTGTCCTCGACGATGAATTTTCCCGCATGTTCGGTAATATCTTTGCAATAATAGCACTTCATTTGTTTGCTTTGCCTTTTTTATTCTGACGCAACAATCCCATATATTTTGCATTTCGGCATCGTTTGTTTGTGTTCAGATAATAAATAAAAATACTAGTGCCGATTGGAGGGTAAAACAATTCATAAATACCATAGCACTTTCCCAAAGGACTTTTCCGTCATACGATTTGTTTTTGCATATTCAAAAGTTGGTCCTCGGATGGGAAAGTATTGAAAGTATTTTTTTGAGTCTGGGAAACCTCATCACTTTCATAGATATTTTGTAGATCAAATAACTTATCTTTAAAAATATGCTGCTTTAAAATAAGACTTTGATCATGACCTAATGACAAAATAACGGGTAGAGACGGAATGGATACTCGGACAAACAGAGGACTGTACTTACTGTTTATCTGCAAGAAATAAAAAATAAAGCGACTTACACGAATTTCGTAGCAGATTTATTTATCCGACAAGTAACAAAATGAATAAAACGATAGCAAAGTCAAAAAAGAAAAAAGATTGAAATTAAATCCTAGGTGATCCTAGATAAGATGATAACGAATCGCTCATAATGAGTTACCTCCCCTTAGCCACCTAAATAGACCCATCCTTACATGTCGTGTCGACGTCGACGTCAGCTGGTCCAGCTTCCACAGTTTTTCTAATTGCCAGTTGTTTCCAGTAGCAACACAATTATGAAATAATCAAGATTCTTTTAAAAAGGATAAAAAATACCTTTGTCATCAAAGTATCTACTGATAACGTATTGTTTTTCTTTAAACGCACTTACATTACCTTCTTACATGTAAGAACTACACATTTTCCATTTTCCGAAAGACAAACAAATTGCTTATTTGGGCCTTCTGGTGGCTAATCACTGATAAGCTTATATACAAAAATGTACCCTGGGGTTATTCCGTCTTGACATGACACGAAATTAAGCATGGCTACCATTCCGTGATATAAGGGGGAAAATAAGTGGGGGACCAAAATCACAACCGACCTCTTTTGGACACAACTGCGATAATTGTTACGATTTTGATTTTCCGATCGCAAACTTTCCCTTTCTTTATGATAATTATAACATCCATGCTTCCATTACTTTCGGTGTTTACCCTCTCTGATTGGTTCTCGTGATTTTCATGATAGACATTTGGTATTTTCCTATATACAGGTAAGGTGTTGGAGAACAATAAAATTTAATTACAGGTAAATTATAGTCTGTACTATAAAGTGTCTTACCATATGAATATGACCGTATACATAGGATTGATTTTGGTGTAAATTTTTATTTATTTATCAAATTGTCTCCACTTCATCTATTATAGTCTTCATCATAATAATAGGGAATATCAGATCAAATGTCCTAACTTTACATATTATAACAATTTGTTTTATTTAAGTGTCACATATCGATATACACTAAAACCACAGCAGATTTTACAAAAAGGAAAAGTTATTTCAAAATTTAAATCGATCAGTTATCGACATCCAGCCAAATCTGGCTTATGAGACACTAAAAGTCATTATCACACCTTGAAATAAGTAAAAACACTAGCACTGTACATAATTATATAAAGTTAAAACATAGGCGCCGGCGATACATATGATATAAAGCAGTGTCTAAAGTCGATCTTGTAAAGGTGTAACTGGACGAGAATACCGACCGGTTTCGACTTTTAACTAAGATTACTGCAACGGAACTTTCACTTTGTTAATGTGTGTCTATGGCCAAAATGCATAATATTACTAATATAGGGTTCAGTGCTCAATTCATTCTTATATGTACGTTTTCCTTTTGACCACTAATATATTTTGGAGACTAGTATATCGTGAGCTGTTCCATTAATCCTTGACCAGAGCCTAAAAACCTCCACTTTCTGTTCTACGACACAGGAACTCCAACCAAGATCGCCACTTGTGGCGACATTGGACGCATTTCTTCCCGTAAGAAGCGGCATGTTTTATTATTATTTCTCTGGTCAAGGTTGTAACATCCTTATACCATTTTTGAATAAATTGGTCATGTAAGCTTGTTTTCAATGAATGTATCAAAAATACATAAGTTCAGCCCGAGTAACTAGTGTTTCATTAATATAATGTCATCATTTAAAATGACAACGAAGGGTCTGTACACATTACTCAATTATTTATGCAGTAAAATGGTAAACACGTATTCAAAGTAGTTTTCATTAAAATATTATTATTCCGTCTATACCACATGCCTACGGTGCTATTAACCAAAACGTTAAGACGGTATATGGTACGATTTTTTTTCAATTTTATCTTACGAAGTATATTCCTGTAAAGTATAGAATACATGTATGTCTCAATAGATAAAATGCTTCTTTGCAATTTGTCCTTGCTTATGTTGAAATGTGATGTGTTATTTTATACTTTTATATGAATTATGTTGTGTTTACAATGGTTTTTGTTTGCATATATGTATTGTGCGGAACCCCGAGACCCTATGGCTGGGATAACGAATTATATATCTTCAACAACAAAAATGAGCGATAATAGACAAATCTGATATCACAGGGTTCGAATCTCTGTCTAGCCCCGCTGATGTTTTACACTGACTGTTGTTGACTATGCTTTGTTGATTTTAACGATATGACCTTTTTCATTTAAGTCCTACAAATTATGGTTTTCTTTTCAGAAGTGATTTATCAAAGCTATATTGTAACCCCGAACAACAAGTTTCTAACGTCTTCTAACAGTGGTACGAGGATCCTTAATAATACATCTAAATATACTAACAATGGGACGGGGATCCTTAATAATACATTTAAATATACTAACAATGGTACGGGGATCCTTAATAATACATCTAAATATACTAACAATGGTACGGGGATCCTTAATAATACATCTAAATACACTTACAATGGTACGGGGATCCTTAATAATACATCTAAATATAATGTCTACTAACGATGGTACGGGGATCCTTAATAAAACATCTCAATCTAATGTCTACTTACAGTGGTACGGGGATCCTTAAAAATACATCTAAATCAAATGTCTACTTACAGCGGTACGGGGATCCTTAATAAAACATCTTAATCTAATGTCTACTAACAGCGGTACGGGAATCCTTAATAAAACATTTTAATTTAGTTTAAATTACCACGAATATGGAGCATACTCCCGCGTATATTTCTATCAAAAAGTAGACAAACTAATTTCCACCCCTCAGTGCAAGTGGGGAATCATTATATACTACATCTCTCCTAGAGATACCTTAAAATGCTGGTCATTCCCTGCTTAGGGTTCAGCAGTTAGGATTATGGTAACAAATTGTTCAACCGTTGTCAGTATAATGTGACCGGGCGGAATGCTGTGCCGGTTGCCTTCGGAATGGTATTTCAGTGAGAAAGCACTATAAAGTCGGCATCAGATCCGCGCTATCACAAGGAGGCAAACATACCAACATTATCTGCCTCCACACATACACACATACATACATACACACATGTACACATACACACACACACACACACATACACACATACACACATGTACACACACACATACATACACACACACACACATACACACGGACACACACACATGAACACACACACACACATACACATGTACACACACACGTACACACACACACACATACACATGTACACACACACATACATACACACACACACATACACATATACACACACACACATACACACACACACACACACATACACATGTACACACACACATGTACACACACACATGCACACATGACACTCACATACACATATGTACACATACACATGTACACACATACATGTACACACACACATGTACACACACACATGCACACATGACACACACATGTACACATACACACATGTACACACACACATGTACACATACACACATACATACACACACACACATGTACACACACACATGTACACACACACATGTACACACACACACATACATACACACACACACACATACACATGTACACACACACATACACACATGTACACACACAGACATACACATGTACACACACACATGCACACATGACACACACATACACATATGTACACATACACACATACATACACACATGTACACACACACGCACACACACACATACACATACACACATGTACACACACACACATGCACACATACACAACACACATAGAGGCACATCCTTAAACGATCGTAGCTGTCAATAAGACGTCGAACTAAATAAAACCAAATCAATCTGATTTCAACACATTTTACTGAGTAATCGGAAAGGTAAAACAACAAGCAAAGTTTACATAATTTATGTTTATGTAGGAAATTGTAGTGTGGACAAGGACACTGTGTTTATAAGGATTGAACTGCATTTCTTTTCAATTTCATGCCGGTATGACCGCAACTCGGTTACATATATATTCCGTGAAGCTCGATAGGGCTTCATGATACATATGTATGTAACTGATTTGAGTTCATACCAGCATGACCATTGAACAGGATGCTGTTAAATCCTTACATTTACATTCTAAATATTTTCTTATTATTCACCTAAATATACATTCCTTTACATTTTCGGTCTGTGTCGTCAGAGCAAACAAATTTCCTGGAACAGCCTAACGTCAGTCATTAAAATGTTTGATTCTAACAGTAGTCTCATGTTAATCGTGGTTAGAGGAAAGCTTCAAATGACTCACTAATCAAACTGCCTTCATTGCTCTATGAAGGCAATTTCATCTGGTAATGCTTAAAGAGGAACACGCAGTGGAAATGTAAATAGTATCACTAAAACATCATTAGGTCATACCTAATAACTCTATAAAACAGAGTCCAGTTAAACGGCCAGCTAAGAATTAGACATTGAATAAATCTACCACATTGTACTAGTACTACTTCCTTATCGGATACAAACAATAACGTACGTAGGCATGGGTACTTACTCAGCGACGTTAAACGACCATGCTAATAAATTACTGCTACTATGTAATCACATTAAATTTGTTGTGAAAAAAGCATTAAATTTAATTTAATTAACTCTGATACAGGATCATTTCCTTTTCTCTACACCGGTGTCAAATATTATATATCAACACATATATAACAACGGTTTCTGGAACACCACAACGTGTTATAGCTCAATCCAATGCTTGGCACATTGTTTACGTCACAGTTTGTATTGTTGCAACGGCGCACTTGGTGTTATAAGAGCCACACGAAAAGCCCCGTTGACCTCTGACCTCTAGACAGATGAAACAGAAGCTGGTCTTACAGTTACGACAGTCCATGTGCTTACACTGATCTTTGTGTTCGATCAAAATTTTACAGCCTGGGCATGCGCGAATGGATGGACAGCCGGTCACTTTCACTATTTCTTTACGTGGGCAGGTACTGAGTATCTGTCGTGCGGAATCTTTGGTGCAGCTATGGTGATCCTTCCAAGGATATAGACAATACCAGCAGAAATGACAATTAGGTTCGCCAGCGTTCTGACAGTACACACACAGCACGTGTGGATCGTCGGGTTTCTGTCGTTCGCACACGCAACGACAAAATGGACACTCACGAACTCCCGCTGACAAATTTACCCAGTTCCGGTTGATGCGCGATTCAAACAAAATACGTTCGTCCTTTGACAAGCATGCGTTTTCTGCCACTTCCGGGAAAAACCATTCCCAGTCGCAGCGTCGACTGTTGACGTCAGCAAAGCACCGGAAGGATGACGTTTGTTCTGTGAGCTGACTCCAGCAGTATCCGTACAGATTGTCAGGGGCTGTAAAATAAATACGAAAATAACAAAACATATTATGTTTGACAGTTGACGCACAGGTGTCGGGGACGGGAAACAGGAAATTAGCAAATATATGATATTGTTCCCAGTTACCTCTATCAAAGTGGTGCTTACGAAAGAACTCGAATGTGGACATTTCTCCTATATTTATTTCAGCACGACGGGAGATCGTAAAAGCAGTACCTTGGTATATGTAATTTGTATAACGAGAAGTTTAAAACAGAACACTCCAAATACAGCGATCTATGAAAGCTAACATGGTGAAAGTATCTGGTAAAAAAAACTTAAAGTTATACCAGAAACTATTTCTGTAGTTAGAAAAAAAAGTCATCAGCAGTCACAAAAGCCCATGACAACATGAACCACCAATCAGAAGCCGCACCAGTACAACATGACACCATGAACCACCAATCAGAAGCCCCACCAGTACAACATGACAGCATGATCCACCAATCAGAAGCCGCACCAGAACAACATGACAACATGAACCAGCAATCAGAAGCCGCACCAGTACAACACGACAACATGAACCACCAATCAGAAGAAACACCAGTACAACATGACAACAGGAACCACCAATCAGAAGCCGCCCCAGTACAACATGACACCATAAACCACCAATCAGAAGCCACACCAGTACAACATGACAACATGAACCACCAATCAGAAGTCACATGAGTATCACATGACAGTATGAACCACCAATCAGAAATCTCATAGAATACAATCAATTAAAAGTCGCATTACACATGACTTCATGAACTACCAATCAGAAGTCACATACAGCTTGACTGCCACCCAGAAGGCTCCGAACAGAACCGACAAGTTCTGTTTCTAAATAGTTAATACGTTAACTGCTACCGAAAATGTATCGGCAAAGATAAACCATGCCATGATGTAGTACAGCAACAGTATTTATCATGTAGGAATAAAGTGAATATTAAGCGGTTTTTAATATTTTTTGCTTTCGAATAAACACAACAAGCGCTAAAATATTATAATTGTTGCGGAATTGGACCGGGTCGAACACCAGTGACCAGTTATATCAACTGATGCTGTACAGCGTCCATCTAGAGTCCGGAAGGTCCCGGGTTCGAATCCCGGTCTGGCCGTGCCCTTTGCTGCGCCTTTTACAGTGGTGCCTGTGACCAACCGGCCTTGTTTTAAGCATTGGGTGTATGCTTGGCAAGGGGATACCCGAACCTGGGTTGTAAATAGTGTTGTCTTCAACAAGAAGATGATTTAGAAATCAGGAGGGAGGAATGTATCGGCACTGGACTGGGTTGTGCGCCAGTGACCAGGAAGCTTAACTGATATACATGTGTTGTCCGTGCAGAGGTCGAATGGTCCCGGTTTCGAATCCCGTTGTTGCCGTGCATTTTTCCTTTCCTATCATATTATCGCTAGAAATGCTTGAACATGTACGACATTCTCATTGTTGGACGTTTTGTATTGTCCCGTATATAAGTTTTATACCAATATATAGGACGTTCTGTATTGTTTAACTTTTGTGCGTTGCTGGTTATGCATATATTGGATTGTTATACTATAAGGAGCGATGATATATTGACATAGGCATATAGACATGATCTATATAGTATTCTACCTTTCCCCGGTATTGTGTTTGACAGAGACTAACCGGTTTAGTAAAATCATAATAGTTACTTACTGAGGGCGTGGCCACATGACATCAGACATCGCGGTTCCTCCTCCCACGGGTTCACAATGTCCTTCTCCTCTGTTTGGCGCCAATAAGGAAGTTGTCTGTCGGAATTGTGGACTACCACGTGTAGGGGGCTCTCCATGTCCTTCACCAATCTAATTCCGTCCACAATGGCGCCTTTTTCTACTATATCGATATTATTCTTGTCCTCCCGAAGCACTTCGGCTACGGTCATCTTTGCTTCCGTCACAGTGTTACCCTAGCAACAAAATATTTTGTTAAAAACGTGTATTATTTAAGGAACGCTTTTGAACCCCGCGTATTTTGAATAAATATCATGTCGCGATGGCTGTTCTAGTCAAACTTCATTATAACGTTTAAATTCAATTCCAATTTTCAAAAATGTTTATTTATAAGAAATTATGACAAGGGTTTCATATCGTATTGTTATGAATAATTATAGAATATAGTGTAGCAACTGTTTAGTAACGTAGCAAAAAATAGTTCTTTATTGAAGATATTTGAGGTCAAATAAAAACTAAATCACGTCATGAATTTTCCAATTACTCTTTTAGGGAACCCATTAGCGGTAAATATTGATTACAGCTACGCACGCATTTTCTGTTCAAATATTTATTATCTTTCAATATATATATATTAGTAAACATTTATTTCATTTTACGTGTTAAGTTTAGTAGCGAAAAAGAAAGCAGAAGTGTTTACTATTCTATTATAGAAACGAAAGTGAAACTGAATGAGCGAGGATTCCGCTAAAATTGAACGAAATCGTGGAAGCGAAGTGAAAGTGAACGTGAAATGAAAGTGAAAGTAGAGAGGTGTTAATGGTAGTAAAATGATAACGAATACTAAATATGTAATAGATTCCGGTTATTAATATCCGGTGTAATATCTAACCCACTCCAATTAAAATACACCTCTCTATCAAAAATAGAATGAGCTAATGAATGGATATTGTCTTAATCATTGTGGTGTGTGACACACTTCCCAAATCAACCCAGGTTTTATCATGGCTGAAGCAGTTTCTTGTTTTCATATAACTTACACCAACTGATAAATATAACTGCATCAACGTATAGTGTTGAAAACAAGAGAAATAAAATACACGTATAATTCAATGTGTAACTTTATGTATAGCAACAGCTAAAAGGTTGATGAAACAGAATCAAGATCGACAATTATCAACAGAAAAATACCCCCCCCCCCCCCCCCCAATAAATAGATAAAAAACAACAACAAAAACTGATTCACCTGTCCAATGAATGGTTTCACAAACATTTAGTATTTGTACATTGTACATATAACATAACTTTCAAATATCAGACACAACTTTATACCACCACTTAAAGTCACAGGGTAAACGTCACGCACAACCAGACAGTGACGTGAATTAAATCTCAAAACAAAACGACCATCACTCATTACCGTTAAGTAATACTAGTTTTACCAACCATGTGAAACTATTAAAGACAACCACTTACCCCTGTAAATCTAGCACTCTGGACCGTTGATTCACTCAGTCTTAAAAATCTCCCCGCCATATTGGAATGACTCTTCACGGTTAAACCTGTGTTGTACAAAGTAAATTTAAACCGAAAGTTGCCACTGAGCAGACGTGTGTTTACACAAACATTGGATACGTAAGCAGGCTGAAATGATTATTCATGTCTTAAAATTCCTATGTACCATGACATCGTTCCTATTGTCGGTCATATACACTACGAACTAAAGGTACTCATTCTTGACGTAACATCATCGACAGCCCAGTACACCTTTTCACGTAGAACGGTTTATTTCCATGGTAACGGTAATACCCGTGACAGGCTAACACTCGGGCACTATTACTATTTCCTTTATTTCCTCCAGAAATGAAGAGTTACAGAAATAACGAACACTACACGTACAATTCAACATTATTGAATGAGAAGAAAATGCATTCACAATTATGGTCACACCCTTACATAGTGACACACACATGCACATGGACAGACACACACATAAGAGAATAATAATAGTACCCGCATCATACCATAAAGTACTATAAACATAGCACAATGATATAATAGGTTCTATTACAGTCATTATACGGTGATAATTATGATGATAGACAGTATAACACTAATCATACATTACATCACACATTGATATAATAGACATATTTACACTCCTCAAACTACATTATCATATAATAGTATAGACAGTAATACACTTCTCGTACTAAGCAATCATACAACATTGTAATAAACAGTATTACAAGCATCACACTATAAATTATACAGCATTATTTACAAACATATGTCTGGTACATAAGTCTTACAATACAATTGTGCAATAGTATAACAGGAAAGACATAGGAAATGCTTGCCTACTAATATGAATACAAACATATGTGTATTTCATGTATTAATCTTGCTGAAGCGTGAGGTACACACACTGTAAATTGGTGATCACAAACATATTACTCAGTATACAACATTCAAATATCTAAGGATAAATTACATAATACCGATGTGTTGAAGAGTTTTAGTAATTATAACAATGGATTTTATTCTAAAGTCCTCCAGTTCATATGAAGATAAATCATAGTTGAAAATACCACCAAGAAGAACTTGAAGTAGATGGTAATTAGACATTACATTAAGATAAAAAAAACAAAATCTATATCTTTTACAGTACTGAGTACACACCAGAGCTGGTCACGTAATAGCTCTGTGTGTGAGCATTCGAGTACACTATGCATAATAGGATCTTTGTGCATAGAGCCACATTAATGACACAAATATATATTTTCATTATCGCGCATTTCAACACAAAGTTTAACAACTTTCTTAAAACATGGACTGTATTGTGGAAAGCGTAAAGCAAGTTTCCATATAGCATACGGTTGTATCTTATTATGTAAAAGAGTGAAGCGAGAGAAGTCCCTATCAGCGTTCATTCTTTCACATAAATTCAACTGTTAATAGTTTCTTACATGGTCATTGACTAAACGCTTCCATTGACATTTGTTTGGAAATACACCACTCTTCAAAAATTCATCAATAACATGATACAAATTGTATTTTTGTAAAATATTAACAATGTCGGGAACAAAACCTCTACTAAATTGAGACAGGTTGAATTCGAATAGACGCTTGATAAGAATTTCGCGTGCTAAACAGCCAACTTCCATGGAACATATTCTACCAAAAAATAACATTTTCTTTACGCTGATGTATACTTCTACAGAAAACCAACCAATCAAGGACGTGCANGACTCTTTCATTTGGAACAAGCACGTTCTGTACGTTCGACATTGTTATTTCTACTATTCAATAAAACCCCGACATGAGTAATACTTTCTACAATGGGTAGTTTCTTTCCATATACAGTTATATCACAATTAATATTGGGTTTCTTTTTAGATGTAAAAACAACAATTTCAGATTTAGTAGAGGAAAATGCAAATCTCCACTTTCTATTGTATGCCTCGCAAATAGAGAGTAGATACTGTAAACTATTAACGTTTTATCTTTTATCATTAATTGAGTAAAAACTTTCCATATTGCAATATTTCAGTAGAGTAACATTACATTCGAAATGACACGTAATGACTTTGTATACTGACACGATGACCAGAGACTGTGTGTAGTGGTAAACAGTACTTAAGCTGATCACCTTTAGTCTCATCTGTATACCGACACATTGACCAGAGACTGTGTGTAGTGGTAAACAGTACTTAAGCTGATCACCTTTAGTCTCGTCTGTAGTTGCTCTAGTATCAGTTTATTTAGCTTACCTAGACAGGTACATGTTTACACATTACTGATATATCTATATCGATAGAGGTCTTTATCTGTAATCTGGACCAATCACGTGGCTGGTAGGTATACCTGAATAGATTACGTGGTGCTCTAAATAGATACCGGGAATTATTATTTATAAATACCTGTTTCCATGTAAAGGTATACAACAGGTGATGTAACAGGTTTTCTGATAACGTAGACAAATACCTTGAAATAAGAAAATTCTATTTATATCCTCGTTTGTTGTGACTAGTTTGTGTCCACATGCAGGGGAGAGGTTCTTCGTATAATACCAGAGGGCAGTGCTATAAGTTATATCTACATATATGTTAAGTGTGAACTAGGGTTTAACCATTGCTATCTTAATGCATTGTCTTATAAAAACAGAAAAAGGGGCGCTTTGAAATACGACAATACATTATTTACGCTGTAATAATAATAATAATAATATACAACATTTATATAGCGCCCTATATAGTTTGTAAAATTACTCTAAAGCGCTTTACAACATATGGATAATAGTAATGGTTATAATTGTGAATACAAAAAAAAAGGTTTACAATAGTTAGTAAACTTGTTAATAAAGGTGAATCGACTTTATAATACAATGTACTTTATAATACAATGTACTTTATTTTGATTATTTTAGAATCCTTATCCAACTGCACTGCGTATTGTTTATTTTGTGTTTTTTTTGTGATTACAGTAGCCACACTTTAACTTCCGGTTGGATATAACTGTATCACCATTGGGCCTAGGCTCGTCCAACCAGACTCTTGTTGTCTGCGCAAGCTACGCCCAACTACAAGTGATCAAGCGTCTGGTTGAAGGAGACTACATTGGGCCAGAGCACTTCCGTTGACCAGGGCGCCCAGTCGGTTATACCCAGTCCAGTGTTCGAATCCCGGCTGCTCTTACCCCGCTGTTTTTTTCCACTCAGAACAATGTTGTGGATTGTTCATTAACTCTTTATTACTTCTTATAAAATTCCAGGAAGATATGAAAAAAATGATAAGCCATGCCAGAAACAACCTTCCAACACTTAGACTATTGTTTGACAGTGGTACGAGGGTGCTTAAATGTCTTAAAAGGCCGAGGTGACAAGATTTTATAATAGCACACGTTACGTGCGACGTTGCGTTAGTCATAACATATATCGTATGATTACCTCATGGGGATTTATATTAGTTTACTCATTGTTTTGTTAAGAATGGTCAATTTCAATTGTGTATAGCTTAGTGGCAGTAAATAGTTTATTGTTAATCCAGTGATTAACTCAACTTTGCATGTTGTTTTGTTCAATGATATTTAAAACTGTGTATTGTAAACATATCCCCAGTGGCGTGCTCTAACGTTAGTAACGTCCTCGCAACAGCCAGGGACACACGAGTACGGGTACCTAGGGAGACAACAGCCAGGGACACACGAGTCCTGGTGTCTAGGGAGACAACAGTCAGGGTCACACGAGTACGGGTGCCTAGGGAGACAACAGCCAGGGACACACGAGTACGGGTGTCTAGGGAGACAACAGTCAGGGACACACGAGTACGGGTGTCTAGGGAGACAACAGCCAGGGACACACGAGTACGGGTACCTAGGGAGACAACAGGCAGGGACACACGAGTACGGGTGCCTAGGGAGACAACAGCCAGGGACACACGAGTACGGGTGTCTAGGGAGACAACAGTCAGGGTCACACGAGTACGGGTACCTAGGGAGACAACAGTCAGGGACACACGAGTACGGGTGCCTAGGGAGACAACAGCCAGGGACACACGAGTACGGGTGTCTAGGGAGACAACAGTCAGGGACACACGAGTACGGGTGCCTAGGGAGACAACAGCCAGGGTCACATGAGTACGGGTGCCTAGGGACACAATAGCCAGGGTCACACGAGTACGGGTACCTAGGGAGACACAACAGCCAGGGTCAAACGAGTACGGGTACCTAGGGAGACAACAGCCAGGGTCACACGAGTACGGGTGCCTAGGGAAACATCGCCTGAAACAGAAAGTAAATAGAACAGAAAGACAGGAAAGATAGGAACCGAAAATGATACTAAGTGTTGCAATGGGGACAGCTGATCAATGTTTGGCCTGTCCACGTCCCATCATAAGTCGCCTTTTACGATATACACATGCAGTGGGTCTGTTATTGATTTTTTTTCAATGACCACCAAATAGAAGGCGGGGAAGAAACCAACCCCGATTCTGCAGTGTGAAACAGCAGGTCTATACTTTCTCCGAACCTGCACATTGTTTATTGACAAATAACAATATACCTCCCACGGGAACATACAGTCTGTTAAGACAAACACGTGAAACACAAAGAGATTAAATAACGTTTTTATTAGGAACAGCTAAAACATTAAAACACCAAACTTACATAATAAATCTCTGAATCAAACTAGTCCTTACACAGTAGATCAGCCGTAATGAGGTCTCACTATAATACAGTCTCCAAACAGTAATACACATTGTTTCACACTAGTCCTTACACAGTAGAGCAGCCGTACTGCGGTCTCACTATACAAAACAGTAATACACATTGTTTCACACTAGTCTTTACACAGTAGATCAGCCGTACTGCGGTCTCACTATACAAAACAGTAATACACATTGTTTCACACTAGTCTTTACACAGTAGATCAGCCGTACTGCGTTCTCCCTATTCCAAACAGTAATACACATTGTTTCATACCAGTCCTTACACAGTAGATCAGCCGTACGGAGGTCGCACTATACCAAACAGTAATACACATCGTTTCACACTAGTCCTTACACAGTAGAGCAGCCGTACTGCGGTCTCACTATACCAAACAGTAATACACATTGTGTCACACTAGTCTTTACACAGTAGATCAGCCGTACTGCGGTCTCACTATACCAAACAGTAATACACATTGTTTCATGCCAGTTTCACTCAACTCTCACTGCATCCGGTTTCTCCGCCCAACACACAAAGTAATGTACACAGCGATACCACAGGGAACTGAGAATTTGTTACAGCTATAGTTGGACCTAAACTAAGATGTTTAGAGTAATTTTACATGTTTTAGGGGTTTATGTCAACTTTCGGTAAACATGCCACCACAATGCTTAAATATACGGGCATTGGGGTGGCATTTTTTCCGAAAGTCGATCTAAACCCCGAAGACATGTAAAATTACACTTTAGTTTAGTTCCAAATATAGCTTTAACAAATTCTTAGGTCCCTGTGGTCAATACGTGTATTGCACAACCTTCATGTGCATACTAACTCACTCGGCAATATATGAACAACATACGATTCACACACCTAGCAATACGAATCAGACCGCTTTTATTCAATAGGAAATGTTTCAAATATCGCCATGTTTTCGCTTTCTTTTGTTTCTGTTTCATTTATATTTTTTTGTAGTAAAAGCAACAAGGGTGACATTTAGTCCATAGTTTACACAGCGCAATGATAAGACTCGGGTAAGTATCACTGCATAAAAACATACGTTTAATTTCAGCTTAACTACCAAGTATATTGCATTAGCCAGCATGCAGTTTAGCTTAACTGAACAACATATCACATTTCAGTCTCTTCTCATAAAAGTTCACTTCCCACGTTGATGTCCTATGACGTAAGTATTACGTTACGTCACACAAGCTTGTTAACCCATTACACATGTAAAAAGGTTCCAAGTCACATCCTGTCATCGTACAGTGACATCAGAAGACCTATTGACCCCCCGGTAGCCTGGTGACGAGTTGAACGAGCGACCGGTCCTTCATGCCAAGGTCGGCAATTGTTTTGTGGTCGGTTCTTGCGTCGCCGGGTCGAAATGTTTTACCGGCGTACACGATTTGTAGGTACTGTTTCTCGACTCCACGTTGATCCGAGATCTTCTGGAATAAGGACGCCATAGACTCAGACTGTAAGAGAAATAAACAGTGATTATAAACATGTCTAACCCCGCGTCTCCCACGTGACCTGTATATATCTCAACTGTATAAAAAATAGAGTTTGGTTCCTCGTACTTAAAATACTTCATACTAAATTAAAATTCCTGTAACGGCGTAACGTTTGTAAACGTTAGTAAACTCGTGACTGCGGTGTGGTGTATAAAGGCCACACTAAAAATAGCATTACCTTGTACGTACACGATAGTAAGTTGTATGGACAAGATAATAAGTTGTGTGGACAAGATAATAAGTTGTGTGAACACGATAATAAGTTGTGTGGACAAGATAATAAATTGTTCGTACAAGATAATAATTTGTGTGAACAATATAATAAGTTGTTGTACGTACAAGAAAAATAAGTTGTGTGGACAAGATAATAAGTTGTGTGAACACGATAATAAGTTGTGTGGACAAGATAATAAATTGTTCGTACAAGATAATAAGTTGTGTGAAGAAGATAATAAATTGTGTGGACAAGATAATAAATTGTTCGTACAAGATAATAAGTTGTGTGAAGAAGATAATAAATTGTGTGGACAAGATAATAAATTGTTCGTACAAGATAATATATATTTTTATTAAGCAATAGGCAAAAATGCCTTTGTGCATTACATAATAACAATCCACAGAGGTGGAACAGGTGGAGTGGAACATGAACATGGACAAAGAAATATATTTGTAATTGGTATAATACACATACAAGATGTGGACAAGATATTAAGTTCTGTGGACAAGATAATAAATTGTATGGACAAGATAATAAGTTGTGTGGGCAAAATAATAAATTGTGTGGACAAGATAATAAATTGTTCGTACACGATAATAAGTTGTGTGAACTAGATAATAAGTTGTGTGGACAAAATAATAAATTGTGTGGACAGGATAATAAGTTGTGTGGACAAAATAATAAATTGTGTGGACAAGATAATAAGCTGTGTGAACAAGATAATAAGTTCTGTGGACAAGATAATAAATTGTGTAGACAAGATAATAAGTTGTGTGCACAAGATAATAAGTTGTGTCAACAATATAATAAGTTGTAAATACAAAAAAAATAAGTTGTGTGGATAAGATAATAAGTTGTGTGGACAAGATAATAAATTGTGTGGACAAGATAATAAGTTGTGTAAATAAGATATTAAGTTGTGTGAACAATATAATAAGTTGTACGTACAAGAAAAATAAGTTGTGTGGACAAGATAATAAGTTGTGTGAACAAGATAATAAGTTGTGTGGACAAGATAATAAATTGTGTGGACAAGATAATAAGTTGTGTGGACAAAATAATAAATTGTGTGGACAAGATAATAAATTGTGTAAACAAGATAATAAGTTGTGTGAACAAGATAATAAGTTGTGTGGACAAGATAATGAATTGTTCGTACAAGATAATAAGTTGTGTGGACAAGATAATAAATTGTGTGAACAAGATAATAAGTTGTGTGGACAAGATAATAAATTGTGTGGACAAGATAATAAGTTGTGTGGACAAGATAATAAGTTGTACGTACAAGATAATAAGTTGTGTGGACAAGATAATAAGTTGTATGGACAAAATAATAAGGTGTGCCTCTACGTGTCTGCGTTAAAATAATCAGCTGCAGCTTTGATAATGTACACATGTATTTGAGAAATTAAATTAAAGAGTTATAAACTTTCTACGGACCTTTACATTGACCATGACGTTATTGCATCATTAATGACGGAAATGAGTCATAAAATATAAAATAAAACAAAACTGACCGGTTCCGCATCAACAAGCTGCGTCTTGCCGTCCGTTCCCGCCTGGACCATTATCTGCATGGTCGGTTAGTATCTGTGTTCAAGTTACTGTCAATATACTCGGTCACCGGTACAGGCGATCTTGTCTAAGTTCTGTCAGTATTCTCGGTCACCGGTACAGCTGATCCTGTCGGCAGTCAACTGGGGATTTCTGAGTTTTTTAGTCGAAGCTTAAAATGAAAGTAAAATTACGATTAATATTTGGAAAAGCAAAGTATTTTCAGTTTGTAAACAAAACAAGAAGTATTACCTTGATGACATGTAAATAAAACAAAACTTATAGTCGAAGTCGTACAAAGACATTTTGGGAAAACCTCGATGACATAGAAAAGAACAACAGAAAACCCATGTTAATAAATATCGATTAATATCTTAGAGACAGTAACGTCATAACTAAGACTTCCTTGTCCAGATCTACTTTCGGTTTCGATTCCATAAAAAATGTGCATGAACATTACATATTGATGACATATACAAATTCTCAATTCTTAATGTGTCGATATGGTGCAGTATAAAGATCATAGGCGAAAGCGTGAAACTGATTCAGTTATATCGCGATTAGATACGAGACGAAGAATTATGGGTAGGCAGGAAACTCGGCTAGTCCTCGTAATGATATTTTCACAAGTCATCTGATGCTATCTTAACTTTAAGTAAAATTCATTGCTGCAGAAGAAAGTATTACAATTGTGCCAAAACACAACAAGTGTATAAACAAACATTCTTGTTGAAGTATATTTCTAGACATAAGGGATCCTTGCAGGTTCTAGGAAAGAATAGAAGCCAGCAATATACCTGCTGTATATCCTACTGTATGTGCATCGTAAAAGGCGACAACTGTGCCCCTCCCCCCTCCCCCTACAGAATTGATTTGTTTCTTCTGTCTGCGTCTAAGAGGTCACAGAAGAGACCACACGTAATATACTGTCCCCATTGCAACAAATGGAATCTTTTTTTCGTTTCATATCTTTCCTGTCTTTCTTTTCTATCTACTTTCTGTTTCGGGAGGTGTCTCCCTAAAGGCACCCGTCCTCATATAACCCTGGCAGTTGTGTCTCCCTATAGGCACCCGTCCTCATATAACCCTGGCAGTTGTGTCTCCCTATAGGCACCCGTCCTCATATAACCCTGGCAGTTGTGTCTCCCTATAGGCACCCGTCCTCATATAACCCTGGCAGTTGTGTCTCCCTATAGGCACCCGTCCTCATATAACCCTGGCAGTTGTGTCTCCCTATAGGCACCCGTCCTCATATAACCCTGGCAGTTGTGTCTCCCTATAGGCACCCGTCCTCATATAACCCTGGCAGTTGTGTCTCCCTATAGGCACCCGTCCTCATATAACCCTGGCAGTTGTGTCTCCCTATAGGCACCCGTCCTCATATAACCCTGGCAGTTGTGTCTCCCTATAGGCACCCGTCCTCATATAACCCTGGCAGTTGTGTCTCCCTATAGGCACCCGTCCTCATATAACCCTGGCAGTTGTGTCTCCCTATAGGCACCCGTCCTCATATAACCCTGGCAGTTGTGTCTCCCTATAGGCACCCGTCCTCATATAACCCTGGCAGTTGTGTCTCCCTATAGGCACCCGTCCTCATATAACCCTGGCAGTTGTGTCTCCCTATAGGCACCCGTCCTCATATAACCCTGGCAGTTGTGTCTCCCTATAGGCACCCGTCCTCATATAACCCTGGCAGTTGTGTCTCCCTATAGGCACCCGTCCTCATATAACCCTGGCAGTTGTGTCTCCCTATAGGCACCCGTCCTCATATAACCCTGGCAGTTGTGTCTCCCTATAGGCACCCGTCCTCATATAACCCTGGCAGTTGTGTCTCCCTATAGGCACCCGTCCTCATATAACCCTGGCAGTTGTGTCTCCCTATAGGCACCCGTCCTCATATAACCCTGGCAGTTGTGTCTCCCTATAGGCACCCGTCCTCATATAACCCTGGCAGTTGTGTCTCCCTATAGGCACCCGTCCTCATATAACCCTGGCAGTTGTGTCTCCCTATAGGCACCCGTCCTCATATAACCCTGGCAGTTGTGTCTCCCTATAGGCACCCGTCCTCATATAACCCTGGCAGTTGTGTCTCCCTATAGGCACCCGTCCTCATATAACCCTGGCAGTTGTGTCTCCCTATAGGCACCCGTCCTCATATAACCCTGGCAGTTGTGTCTCCCTATAGGCACCCGTCCTCATATAACCCTGGCAGTTGTGTCTCCCTATAGGCACCCGTCCTCATATAACCCTGGCAGTTGTGTCTCCCTATAGGCACCCGTCCTCATATAACCCTGGCAGTTGTGTCTCCCTATAGGCACCCGTCCTCATATAACCCTGGCAGTTGTGTCTCCCTATAGGCACCCGTCCTCATATAACCCTGGCAGTTGTGTCTCCCTATAGGCACCCGTCCTCATATAACCCTGGCAGTTGTGTCTCCCTATAGGCACCCGTCCTCATATAACCCTGGCAGTTGTGTCTCCCTATAGGCACCCGTCCTCATATAACCCTGGCAGTTGTGTCTCCCTATAGGCACCCGTCCTCATATAACCCTGGCAGTTGTGTCTCCCTATAGGCACCCGTCCTCATATAACCCTGGCAGTTGTGTCTCCCTATAGGCACCCGTCCTCATATAACCCTGGCAGTTGTGTCTCCCTATAGGCACCCGTCCTCATATAACCCTGGCAGTTGTGTCTCCCTATAGGCACCCGTCCTCATATAACCCTGGCAGTTGTGTCTCCCTATAGGCACCCGTCCTCATATAACCCTGGCAGTTGTGTCTCCCTGGAAACCCGTCCTCATATAACCCTTGCAGTTGCTAGGACGTTAAACCCAAAACAAACAACTTAACATAAGGATATACTTTATAAGCTATTGTGTCGAATTCTGCCTAAATAGTATTTCGTTGAGTCTAATTTATTAGCTTAAAGACACTACGTCCAGTTATTAATATTTTTAAACCCGATTGCAAACTGACGAGTTATATCTTGATCCCAATGACATCTTTTTTATTGTTGATGTCAATAATAATAATAATAAAATACTATTCAAAAGTTTATCAAAAGATTTGCCTTTTTTGACGAACTTGGCCTCCTGCTTAGCTTAAATTACATCTCAAATATTTATCTTGTCTATCTGGGATAAGGTTGTTAACGGTGTCACGAAAATCCTTCTAGTGTAAAACACTTACCGCTTGTAGGAGAGAACACACAGAATGGATACTCCAGCTCACAATAGACACACAATATCCCATGCATGTCTGCAACTATTACCTTTTTTATTTACCATAATATGAACTTCCATTGTCAGGGTTTTCCCCTCTATAACCTATATTCGCTAGCATTACCGTTACAGTGGACAGAAAAACCAGGCAGTCGGCTGTGGATTAGAGATATCCTGTATTGACAGAAATCTACAGAGCAGACATACGTCTGCTTGAACTAACAGAACACTTCATGCTTCCCAACTCTCCCTACTTTGGAGGGATACTCCCGATTTCAGAGTCTAAATTTTACCATTTTCAACCAGTGAACTTGCTTAACTATTCCGATTGTTTAAGATCTGATAGATATCATCTAACAACAAACACTCACCTCCATTTTACCGAGTGACGATCCTATGTGCTATTTATATCCATTGTCTGATTCCCTTGCTAATTATATTTACATTTTTATAGTTTGACATTCAAATTAACTTCCCATATCTATCGTTTTACATTAACTTGTAATATATATTCACTCACCTATATTACTGATATTACCGTCCGGAAACTTCCCCCACTATTTACATTACTCCCCCATTCCTCCTTTATTTACTGTCTGACATGTATTATACTCACCTGAATGTCTGAAGTCGAGCCGTTGTTATTATACTGCGCCGTCTGATGAAGTAGTCACATCTAAAATGAAACCAACACATCTACAGAAATATCAACATGATTGTGCAATGCAACTTCAAAACGAAAGTTGGGTTTTTCTAAGATGAGTGACAGATTTTTAAAAGTAGGCGATACATCGGGGTGATAAGTTTTTATAATCGAAAGTGAAAGTAGCAACCACAATTAATTTTGAAATGACGTGGTATTAATTTAACACGCATAAGCTGTAATGTAAACAATCGCTAGTAGGGATGTTAACTGGTCAAATGTCACGACGTTGTTTATACTTATAATTCTATTTGATTTCAATTAATTTAACACTTACATAATAATGAAATATACTGCTTAGAGTGTATAAATACTCGTATCAAAATGGCTTTTCTACCTGCTACCTTAAGGCCAGAAAGAAAGAAAAAATACTTGTAGTTCACTTAAGTTTGTTTACACATATTTTCTGTCTTTATTAAAAAATATAAACATGCAATTAATAAACAAAAGCCACAATGATATTTCACGGTCATGTTAAAGATATCACAACGGAAAATAGGAAATGTGCGACGAAAGAAACTGGTCAAATCGCATCCTGTCTATTTCAGTTTCTGTTTTTTCCTCCCGGGTTTGCCAAAACCACACAGGCTTGAAATAAGGTGCCAACATGCTATATTATTAATGTAAGTTTTCGGCAATGCTTGAACCAGTATGTATCTTTAAAACAGGAAGTTCTTAATTGCATATTATTGTCCATATTTCCGTTTTGATTTACCGACAAATATCAACAAAAGAAACAAAGGTCGTTTACTTACTGTTGTCAGTTGCTGTATCGTCGCAGACAATGTCACGTCACAACACACAAGGTATGATTACTATATATACCACAGATGTGTTTCTTAAAGTCTTATCGCTGGATTATTTGGCGGCAGGTTTCCCAGAAAACAAAATCTATATATAGCTTAAGAACTTCCAACTTCGCTGTTAGGAGTATGGGATAAAGCAAAAGAGAAATAAGCTCCGTCAAAAACCCAAATACTGATAATTTTCACACAGTCTATTTATAACGAAGATGTAAGTCAAATCCCAAAATAGAAACACGTAGCGTACTGGTTTCACTTTAAACTGAACCGTGCCAAATAAACAAAAACGTCATATCTGTATTACAGCTTATGTGACTGGTCATCAAACCCAGTGTGTGTGATGCAATGATTACGTGCTAGTCGGTGTCTAAGCTCTGCAAGATTTAAAGTGTTTTATTTTGAAAATGTTCATTTTTATATAGTTTTCATTTTAAATTGCATGTTTTAATATCATTACCATAAGAAGAATAGGATTTATTTATCTTTTGTTTTGCAACAGCAGAACAGACACGGAGCTGTAGCACCATTCTCAACGTAAGTATGGCACTTTATATAATTTGCGGTAGATACAAATAGCGAGTGAGTTCGTCACTCTCGTCCAACATTAAACCAATACATCTATGTACTTTCCTGTCACATTGTGGAGGAACCAAATCCTTACCCAATGTTCCTGAAATGCTGGTCATAGTACGAGAATGCATGTACGGTGTTTCTCGGGTGACCGGCCGAGAAGAGAATGAATGCAACTGAATTAAGGAATAAATTCCATTTAATCGTTTTTATTTCATTTCAAATAACTCATTAAATCAATCAGATGGCTTGTTCTCGATTACCCCACTTGAAAAAAACACCATGTTATACATTTACTAAAATTTTAATACATCTCCAGCACACATTCACACATATGGAGATATTAGCCAGGTTGCTTAGGACTAGTAGTTAGCGCCTGCTGAGTCAGCTCATGCAAATTCCTCAAAATTGCATTGATTTATGTATATATGCTAGTTGTTTATCAAATGTTGTATATTTTATTATCATAATTTTTTATATATCACATGAGCAGAAAAGCTACGAATCACCAACTGTGGGGTTAAAGTAAAACTGACAATAATTGGTTTGTCATTGTCCCCCTTTGTCAACACTTTTCTTTGTTCACCAAAACGTCGAGGGAAATGAGAACACCCCAATCAGATTTAAAGGGAATTGGGCAACAAGCAAAGCCTCTACAAGCCCTCTCACTGGAGGTACATTTCAAACAATAGTAGATCGTATACTATGAATATTAACACTGGTTTGAAACTTTGGGAATAAGACTGGAGGCACATTATCTAGCATTCATTAAGTATGCAAATGATATTGAAATATTTATACGGGGACGTAGTCCAGAACCTGACCAGGCCCCGTCCCGTCCTTACCAGGTCCCATCCCGTCCCGTCCTTACCAGGCCCCATCCCGTCCTTACCAGGCCCCGTCCCGTCCTTACCAGGCCCCATCCCGTCCTTACCAGGCCCCATCCCGTCCCTAATTGTTCTTATCACTTTTGATTATTAATTTTTAGAATGCACCAAAGAAAGATATGCTAAGCTGTTTTAAATCGAAAATGATTTCGATTTGCATTTTAACATATGTGTTTACAAAAAAGGTGAAAATGATACTTTGACTTAATCTATACATAGAATAGCAAAGCTAGTTATGATCAAACGAGATCGGCAAAGTAAGAATATTGTAGTCAAGGACCCCTAGCATGTGGACTATGGCTTTGTGACCCGAACCACCGATACTGTAGAGTATTCTATGTCTATGTGTCTTGTTATAGACAGCATGGTCTTATGGTTGACTATGGCATGTCATATATATCCATATTAGCTATTTGCTCTTCCTGTTGTTAATTTTACCATTTCTGTTAGATATTTGCTATTCCTGTTGTTAATTTTACTATTTCTGTTAGATATTTGCTATTCCTGTTGTTAATTTTACTATTTCTGTTAGATATTTGCTATTCCTGTTGTTAATTTTACTATTTCTGTTAGATATTTGCT